CGGAAAAACTTAGATTTCTAACTCAGAACTAAATATTATTCAAATGTATTACACATCAAAAGATACAGCGTCAAAAACTGCATAAGATGATGTATTTGAAATTTGATTATGATCGAATTTTGAGGGTCGTTTCTTCAAAAGAAAGTTTTCGAAAACACGGCTTATTCCGATTTTTGACGTGGGAAATATATATCCCCAGTGAAAGGGTTAAAAAGTGAAAAAAAAATACACACAACAGTGACCAAAATGGGGCTATTTGTAGCTACAAGATTTCACTGGGATCGACTGGGATAGATATCCCGTTCGGATTATACATGTCTGGAAAAAGTATCTGTCGGCAAAGTGTACATGTCGGCCAAGTGATTTGTCGGCAAAGTGATTGTCGGCCAAGTGAACGCTTTAAAGATATCGAAAACAAAATAGTGCTGTAACTTCGAATTTGGAGAGTCTTACCATCCATATTCGACATGTAAAAGGCTATAAACTTTTTATTAATGAATGAATCTAAGTGAAATTTTTATATGTTAGTCATCTAAACTATGCTCACTACCACCGAAAAATCAGCCCAAAGCTGGTAGTACTTAGTATGAAGAACCATGATTTTAGCTGACACCTGGCGACAACAAAATCCAGTTTTTATTAGAATGCAACAGTATCCCATCGTACGCTTTGTGAATAAATTGTAGTAGACATAGAGAACTTATAGAAAACTTGAACGAATTCCCAATTCATCCACAGTTCCTAGATGAATTCATATTAATAATGGTGTCGAAGACTAAGCAGTTAGTTACACACAGCCACCCTGTTGTTACGACTCGCTACTGTAAGAGAGTGCGCGTGATTATGGTGTGATTGAAAAAGAAACTACATAGACAGGTGGCGACTGTTATTCTGTTGTTACTCCAACTTTACCTCCAAAAGAAAATTCCAACTAGAGAACTGCACTTGAACTTCAATTAAAAGTAAAATCTAGAACAGAAGAAAAGTAGGAATAGAACAAACAAAATTTTTCTCTCTTCGGAAAAACCAGCGTACAAGCTTTATGCTGTTTACCCATCCTTCGAGAAAATGCGCTTTCTTATTGATGCAAAAGAAATGGAAAAACGTTGAAAAGTCAAAAATACCATTTGTCGACGTCGGAAGCCAGAGTCAGTTTGAACATGAAAAGGAAGTGCTCTTCGGAATGGGAAGCGTCTTTCGTATAATTTCAGTTGAGGAGGACAAAGAGGGTATTTGGATCGTTAAACTGAAGCTAACCGGCGAAGAAAATGGAGAACTTCGTCAACTAGTAGAACGTGGGCGATTAGAGATGTCCTCTACAATACCTCGTATTGCTTTACCAAAACTGCTCATAAGCATGGGTAACTACAAAGGAGCCGAGGGTTTTTTCCTTTCGGCACTGAAAGACCCATCAATTCTTGCCGATCCCAAAATGTCATCTATTATACATAACGATCTTGGATTAATCTACGAAAAGATCGGCAACCCAGAAAAATCAGTTGAACATTATCAGACAGCAGTCAACATTGTGGAAGAAAGGGGATCCGCAGACGATCAACTACTACTAGCACCCACATATAGTAATTTAGGATCATATCACCTTGGTCGCAAAGCTTACGATACAGCAATCTCGTTTTATTCGAGAGCAATGGATATTACAGTCAAGAGTCCAAAGCAGTGTCTAACGACAGCCGCCAATGCTGCGGTATATATCAGTAACATCGGGACCGCACATCTTTTACAGGAACATTACTCTGAAGCGCTGGACCATCTTTCCTCAGCTTTACAAATTCAAGAGTTGTGCCTCCCGCCAAATCATCCATCGTACGCAATTAACTACACAAACATCGCTCAAGTTTACAGTGGTCTCGGAGAAAAGGAGAAGCAGATTGAGTATCTGAACAAAGCACTTGCTATTCAGCTACAGTCACTTCCTGCTGGACATCTGGATTTTTCTAACACCTTTAAAAATCTAGCTTTGGCGCTGGCAGTTTCAAGTGGAGACCGATTGGAAGAAGCTCTGGGATATGCTAAAATCGCATACGAGATCAGGCTTCAACATTTACCTCCGAATCATCCAGAAGTTAGAGATTGCAGATGGACAATATCTCTTCTCGATGGCTTAAATCGAAAAGAGCGTACTATAACTTTGTATTAAAACTTATCAGCATCTATTCATGTGTCGAGGACGCATTCGAAGATGTAAACATGTTCTGAAGGAGTAACAGTTGTCGGGTATATTCCAAAAAACATTTTACAAAGCCTGTAAACCCTCACCCACACGAAACAACTTGATTTCGATGAAATAATATCACAGAGTTTGTTGGCACAAAGAAAAAGATTAAGGTACATATTTGTTGTATTCTCAAAATTTTATCTTTCGAAATGTAAGCTTAACAACGTATAGTGACGACGAATGATATTATCGAAGTATATTTTAAGTGTTGTTTGCATACATATGCATAAGCTTTATTTCTTTTTTTATAATTCTCCTTTTTCTTCTTCGAAAAAATACTTTATAATAACAGATAAACAGAAAAATGAGTTGTATTCAGATATTGTAATGTATTGTATTGTTAATGTATGTATTGTAATCTTCTTCTCTGTTCTTTGCCAACAAATGTTATGACATAATATTTCATCGAAATAACTTCATTTCGCGTAGTCTATCACGAAAAACAGTAACGAAAAGTAACAACATTCACTAACTATGTGATTTATCTTAGTCGCTATTAATTTTAATTTTAAGTCTATCGTGTAGAGGACGATTAATTGAATCTTCAGCTATTCAAATCAGATCTTGGCTACCACATTTATTACTGATAAAAAGAACGATAAAGCATCGGTACTGGAAGCAACAAAAAAACGTAACTCTGTCACGTAGCATATATTCGCTCGTTTTATGCGATCTAGATAAATAAAACAAATCCGATAATATTTTGAACGCTCTATCATCGAGACTTAACTTTTTTGGGATTTATTTCTTGACATGTCAGAGAATATTACAGTTCGGAGAACTGCTTAAAAAATTTTTCGTGTTTTTTTGTAATTTCGTCACGTCCCATATTTTCGCTGTCACTTTTGGCCAGCAAAACTAAATAAGCTCAACATATTTTTGGTAATAGAACTTTATAGAATATACAAATCATAAAAGTTTCAGCATTATTGCCTGCTTATATGAGAAGATAGAGGGCCTGAGTCAAAAGTCTGTAATTTTGCCAAGTCGCATGCCAGAAAAAGAATTCTTGTACACGTTGTGGGAGCTGTATGTGTTATCTATACAGCAAAACGGTTTTACCTTTCACATACACACACATCGATAAAGAAGAAAGCAAATAAAGTTAGAAACATATACTTATTTAAAAATATCTCGTGCAGTTATTGTTAAAAAAAGGGTGATCAATGAGTTAGAAAAACACCAAACAGTAAAAGTTGCGCTATGGTAAAACGGCAAACTGCAATATACAAAAACAGAATCGGTTTTAATATGCATGTTTTTGGTTGATTAAGTCTAAGAAGTGATAGATAATATTCACCTTTTCTGTTTGGAAAGGTATCGGATAGTCTAAGGAAAAATTAGCTAATCCGGTCCGAGTCAGTCGTTTATTTGGGTTTTCCCCAACTATTTCACTACCAGACGTGCAAAGCAAATGAGTGTTGTGTACAGGCAGCTGCCGTAAACTATGCTATTTTTGTAACTGACATTAGTTGGTACGTGCCGGTAGGACGCGTGTTGTTTTCGTAATCTATCGAGAAAAAGTAAACAAACAGTTTTAATTTATTGGATATAGAACATCTGAGTGATTTGCGCCGCTATTGTACGGTTGTACTCCGTAACTGAAAATGTCAATTTCTCAAGTTCTCAAGAAAACGGGGAGACGAAACGATTCGATGATAAGTGAACAACTTCAAAACACCATTTTCTTCGGTTTCCCCCCATAAATTATACATATTCGCAATCAGCGTAAAATTCCACGTCTAGTGATGTACAACTTGTTGGGAAACAAAACTATGGTCCTCTCTTGAATTACGGGCGCCTCACCATTCCATAGAGTATCCAACGGTGATCACGAATATGTGGTCCCAGATTTTTTGGTGACTTTTTTCCCGTCGAAAAACCGAGAAAACGTGAGATGACCCGAAAACCGGAAAAACATCCGGGTTTAGAAAAGCCTCTATAGTGTAGCTGTGAAACGTCGTAGAACTCTGCCGTTGAAATATTCAGATTTAGAATTGAAAACTGAATCCAGCCATGTGCTTTTCAGAGTTTCAGACTGAAATCTAAATGTTTCGCGTACCCCGAAACCGAGACATGTCAAGGCGTACATACAAACTTCGCAAACCTATCTAGTTTTTTGTGGCACACATCGTAGAGCCGTAATTCACACATGATTAGATGCGCCGTTAAATAAGCTTCAAAACAACAGCTCGCTTTTCCCGAAATTCCTTTTCCTAGCTGAAATAGTCGACTTTTATTAAAAACTTGCCTCAAACAGTAAAGTCCTTTTTCGCTATTTTTGCGACGTTTGCTCAGAATGAGGTTTTCGGACTGCTGTATGGGCTAAAAACGATGGAGAATCCGATGGAGATAATCGCTGGATCTCTAGAGGGTTTCTGGAGGGTAGGAACATGTAACTGGATAGTCCAAGATCCAAAATATTCGGTAGCGTATCAGCAAAATGATAGGGCAACGTTGTTTCTGTTTATAATATCCGGACGTGGCCTGTCGACCTGAAACCCCAATTTTTATTTGGTTATGTAGCTTCAGCCAGATATCAGAAAAATGTGATTTTTTTATCAGTTATAGTACATATACAGTGCTAATAATCTATTATTATTTGAGCTCTATATCTTACTATGAATGAGAGTTGCCGAATGTTTTCTTATCGTCATTTCGTTAAAGGTAGTTTGCATCTAATTTGTTACATACACTAGTCCTTACCTGGCAATTTTTTACGTAGTATGAAAGTTTCCAATATGCATATTTAATCTAAAGCTAGCTGCAAAACCATCATGAGATTCACTATTCTATTAAAGTCTATTTCTCGCACGGATATTGAGTGAAAGAGTTACCGATCAGCAATTGTGATTCGGTAGGTCACATGACCATTAAAAGATCTACACAGGTTTTGTCTTTACTTTTTTTCGTTTGGGAGAAAATGACATTTCTTTGAAACATCACACAACGGAGTTCATATTTATAATATCCATTGATTTTTTCGTGAATTACTCCGCTTTATATGTCATTCGATAGAGAATTTCACGAGCTTCAGATGAGCTATAAATGGGTCTTTCAAAAATATGCCCACATATTTTCTCGTCCATACTTCTATGTATACTATATATATGAATTAATATCAAAGAAAAAAGACAAAAGCATATAAACGCCCAATACGTGAGAATGTTCCGACTGCTAAGATAATATGACTTTGTCTTTGAAAACAAATTGAAAGAATAAAAAACAAAATTTACATTTCAAATAAAATTGTCACTCTTTCTTTCTTTTAAAAAAAACTACCAAGCACACATGCATAATATCTTCCTGATGAAAGATGAACGAATATGCACAACTTTGTGAAACCGGTGAAAACCGGCCGGTCCAACTGATTCAATCGGTGCGGTTACAACTCTGCTGTATGCGTCGAACAGTAAATTGACCACCGAAACGCATTGGGAGATATTCGATTCTTTTTGTGTGTTTGGGTAGGTAGCTAGCTCATAGAACAATCAGTTCAAATTTTCTAGAAGTACAATTCGAATCAGGCTGAACTGATTAGTTTAATTTGGCTGACAGTAGTTAGATCGCGTTTCGATAATTAGTAACTGCTGATCAAGCAGTATTTTTTTGGTCAAACCAAGTCATTCACAAATTTATGGATGACTTGGCTTCACCTGTTTTTTTCAGCACAACGTACCTCAGTCCATAACTGATTTATACTCGACCGAAAATATGGAAAAGATAGCTGGCAGTTTGAGTAACATTTTGATTAAAAACAGTGATTAGTTTAATTTTGTCTTTCGTTAGAAAGGAGCAAAATATTTTTAAAAATCGTTACTTTCACACTAAATGTTCCACGAGTTTTTGGAAAATATTTTTTTGACATCTGCCAAACTATCCAACCTTTAGTTTCATCCTTTTATCATTTTTTCACATTATAATAGTAAACATTCTCCTAAAGTTTCAAGAATTTTAGTTGAACAAAAACAAACCTTTTTGCACAAAAGAATTAATTTTAAAAAAACGCATTTAGGTGCGTCAGGGTAAAACGCGTCAACATCAGACGCGTCTAGATGAAACGCGTTTAGACGCGCCAGAACAGCGAATAACCCTGCATAAAATCGCGTTTAGGCGCGTCCAAATAAAACGCGTCTAGATAGCGTCAAATGGTGCATGTTTGCAGCGATTAAACGCAGAAAAAAAACGCGTTTTCAGACGCATTTCCGACTCGAAAATATTCACATGGGGAGGTTCTGTCGTTTTTGCGAAAGTGCATTTTACTGCGAAAATCTTCCGCGTGTTAAAAACGATCAAATCTCTATGAAAAATTCGCTTCAACTAGACTTATTATATACCATTCGATTTGTCTTTTGTCGGGAAAGATAGCCATGCCTTTTATAAGACTTCGGGATAAAGCGATCGTTATGTTGAGATTATAAGACCCTGAATAAAGCAGTATTTCATATTTTGGCTGCAATCAGGCATAAATTTGTGTGTGAATGAGTTAAAACACATACTGTCAGATACAACTCATCAAGATCTATGGAACAGTTTATAATATAATAATTAATTATATATAATTATTTTAGTAAGGCCATTTGTTGATTTATATCAAAATAGGCTCGGGGATTTTGTGACTTTACCACTAAAGTCGCGTTTCCTAAGAAAGATTAAAATAACAGTCGGGAAAACTAATTTTTTATCTGGAGTAGGCCTACTGAAATTCACTGGAATGAATGAAAATTATTTAAAAGAAAGTTCATTTTTTCGAATATTTTTAGACTCATGGTACAACAACAGTGCAAATCACTCAGGTATTTAACGGATATCGAATCTTGTTTTATTGAGCAATTTTATCAGCTAAGACAAAGTGACAGTATTATTCGATTAATCCTCTTCAGATATAATCGCAAAACAATAAAATCGAAATCAATGTGACAAAAGGTTCGTTTTCACTGATAACGGAATACGTTCGATGATCCTGAAAATGTGCTGTACGAAACAAATATATATATACTGCATCATGATTTTTTCTTTCTTCATTTCGAAGAACTTGACAAACAAAACGCTCAATAATATTAACCTGTGTCATGAATAACAATTTTTTTCCTGTAAAGTGTGTGCTGTCATTCGGAATTAATTTATTTGTCATTTGCCTGAAGCTTTATAAAAGGTAGAAGAATGCAGACCAAAAACAAAAGAATAAAATTCGTATTTTTACTGATATTGCATATATATAAATACTCATAAACACGGCTTGCATAGAAGCAAATATGGAATCTCTTGCTGCTACGATGGTAAGTGTACCACCATCGACAGATATCCTTCAAAAAATCACAGATCTAATCAATCAACAAACTTCTCAATCTTTATCGTCGTTTGTCTCTGAATCTTTTCAATCGTTGCTCTTCATCGAACATTGGGCCTGGCAAATTCTCAACAGTGATTTTCACCAATGGATCAACGAACAGCACTATTCAAAATTGTTTGGTGTTCTGGCATCATTCAACATGAAAATCGTCATCAATCAAGATGAGATCCAGTGTGAGCCGAAAGCATTATTTCTAATTCCTTTATCAGTCGATTAGATCGACGGTGTACTCGATCAGATTTCAATTCAAGAAATCAAGTTTCGATTTAAAGAAATCTATCATCACTTTTATGGTGATGATAGATTTCTGGCTGTTGTCAGTCGTTGATCTGGTGTTCTCTCACATTTGATACAGGAACACATACAGCTGGCATCCTTTCCGATTATCATCCATCTCAATAGTCAAATCGCCCGTGACTTTCTTCTGACCGAACAATACAAATTCTATTTGAAACAAGTCCGAAAGATAAATCATTTCAATTCAATATCCAATATCAAATTATTCTTTTATATCAAAACATGTTCGCTTTCGTTGCATGTTTATCGAAGTGCAAGAGCGGTAGGTTCTACTGAGATTAGTGAAGAGATTATTGAATTTATCAGTGATGATTATTTACAAATGATCGATATTTATAGTTATACTCTGGATTCATGGAGTAACGAATTACTCTGCTATATTACACATCTTATTGGTCTGATTTGTTCATGCTTTTGTTGGGGTAGTGGAACAAAGTGCAATGTAAAGAAGCTTGTTCTTGGCGAAGAAACATTGTATGTTCATGTACTAGATCTTATTCATATTGTTAGCCGTCAGCCTTTCTATGAACGTATTACTTCGAAATGGATCAATAATGAAACAATTCTCATTGATTACATTTTAGCGGTATCGTCTCGATTCGAGCGCGTTTTAAGTGGCGCCACTATTCGCGCCAAAATGCGAAAAGTGATTTGAATCAAGAGATACTTTGCTGCCCGTCGATTCACATAATAGGCTCTTCAGATAAAAAATTTGGACTGGGGATTCTGTTCCCCGTATAAAAAGTCGGTTTTGCGCTAATGCATTGCTTCGCTGTTGTCTATCCATGTTTCCGTGATGTAATCAAAGAATGATACGATGTTCGGTATATCCGAGTAATCATCCATCATGTTGCACCATAATTCGTCGATTTTATCTAAAGGCATAAACACTAGAGCAGCAACATGCTGATACAAAGATTTTACGGTTGTTAGATCATTATCCTGAGCCTCATAAAACGCTTTCTGAAAACCTAGTTCCTGCAATTTTTTGAACAAACACTGATTAAAATGAGAATTACATCCTTTTATAATTGAATTGGGAAATACAAGTTTCAGTGCATTTATTGCTCCACGCTCGAAGTCTAATGTTATAAATTTTGGATTCAATAAAAGATTATTTCTAACTGTTACATTTCTAACCTCGTTGAATAAGGATACGCACGAGTTTTTGTTTTTATCTGGTAATAGTGTATAAAGTGTTGAAATTGTACCTTTCAAAATCGGCGATAATGCGTGAATGGAATATACCTGCGCAAATGGTGATGGACAAGATTTGAATGTACCATCCATAAATATATGTTCAGGATCACATAATAATTTTAATGCATCGGTCGTTCCAAAACATAAATAACGCGGACTACTATTATCGATTACTAAAAAATCTTCATTGTTAAGTGTTCATCGCCATGAACCTACAATTTAAACATTAATTTAATCAAAGTTTCTAAGACCATCAGCTGTCTTACCCTCGAGTTTTACATCGTCAATGGATTTCGGTAATGGTGGATATTTTTCATTTCTTGTCCGATATAAAGAATTCTTAATTGTATTGAATTGTGGTAATGCAGACACATTATCTGGACTTGTTGTTTGAATCTTCACTAGTTCCGAACGAAACAATTTCCTGACCGATACCGGTAGTTCTAATATAAGTTGGATATTATCGATAGCTAACGCCTCGCTCTAGCTTACTCCACCCACCTTAAAGTTCCAACTAGTCAATCCAATATTAAACTAATAGTAACTAAAATAAAAAATAGAACAAAATTAATAACAATTATATCTATAAATATTAACAAGGGAACACATCTAACAATAATCAATTCTAAATCTAAAATTAAAAACAAAATACAAAAAACATAAAAACGCAAAGAAATAGGAATTAAACTAACATTATAAGAATCAAAACCACATTCAAAAACAGTAGATTCTTTACTATAGTATAATTTTAATATTCCTAACTCAAATAACACTAATAATACTAAAGGTATGATAATAGACACAAAAAAATACAATAATAAAATTCACATTAATTACCTCATCAATAAATAAATACAAATAAAAACAATCAAACTACGTCAACAAAATGCCAATAACAGGCTGAAAATTCAAATCCATAATGAACTCAAGCTTCCATAGATAAAACTAACATACGAATTAAACTAGCCAAAATTATAAAACAACCTAATAAAACATGAAAACCATGAAACCCAGTGGCTAAAAAAAAAACCCTTCCATATCCGCTTCTTATAAAATTAAAAGAAGCCTCAGAATACTCACCAACCTGAACCACTAAAAAATAAACCCCTAAAATTAATGTGATTAAAAGTCTCACAACACTTTTAAACCAATTATTCCTTAGAATACTAAAATGAGCTCAAGTAATAGTAACTCCTGAAGATAACAAAATTAAAGTATTTAATAACGGAACACTAAACGGATTAATACTAACAATACCTTTAGGGGGTCAAACTCCACCCAACTCCATATCAACAGAAAAAACAAAATCAAAATAACATCAAAAAAATGAAACAAAAAACATTACCTCAGATAAAATAAATAAAATTATACCTAAACTAAAAAATTTATCATTAAATCTAGAATGATCTATGGCCATTTCCCCTTCTCGATTAACATCTTTAATTCCAGGATACGTCGTTTCAAACTTGTGCGAAATTCCTCTTGCTCATTTCGCCCTACATTCAGTTCATGGTTATACGTGTTTTCATTTCGCACTCGGTCTTTTAAGTACCGATATCCTAAAAATACCAAACAAGCCTTACCTCTCTCTGTTTCGACAATTGAATATACTATTTTTAAAAAGTTGAGTAAGTTACGAAAAATACTCAATAATTTTCTGTTGTAATCAGATTCAGAAAACTAAACGTATTTATACGTCTCGCACTGTTTTAAAAATATCATTAATTATAAAGCTGGTTGATTAATTTCTGCTCTTGATTAGAAATAAATACTTACAACTAGGAATTATGTTTTATTGCATATGTATGAATTTGTCGACGAGTCGGGAATTTCAATTATTTTTTATTAATTTGTCGACGAATCGGGACTGAATCCATTTTAGCGTCTATCATGGGCTTATTGCAAAGAGAAAATTGAGCTCCTTTATTTGTTCCAAAACAACTTTTCCAATGACACTTTGGTTATTGGCTCATGCACCAAAGGTCGATCGAATACATATTTGTGTCTATGATTTACTAGCAGAACTTCTCTCAGAAGAACAAATGAAAGAGCTCAAAATTACTAAGAATCTGGGTGAAGTTTTCTTTACCATTCTTGAAAATGCATGAAAAAATCCATCGCAACGATACAAACGAATATCAATTGCTTTATTACTTCGAGGTGTGTCAATTTCAATACTTAACCATGCGAAAGACCTTGACGTTAGACTAGATCTATAATTTGAGCGGATATCAAGAAGAGAATTTAGCAGTACACTTGATTATGATAGTACACTTGATTATGATTACTGACAGAAAAAGCGTCCTATATTGCAATATAAGAATGATGATATAAAGGCATAGATAGATAGCTTTCGTCTAGAAACCTCAAAAGCTATTGAAATATAATATTCCAACCATCACGAATCTTGTGGCAATGTTTTTTTCCAGAATAAAATTCAAAGCCTACTGAAAACTGGTACTAGATAAAATAATTCATTTTTGCCTATTTGCACTGACAGCTAAAAAATTCATAACTCAGTCAAAACCGGTTCAAAACTACTTCAGAATATCAACATGTAACTTACTTTATTTTATCTTATTAGCTTTATTCTGGGCTTGAAATTGGTAAGAAAAATTCTCTTGTTCCCAAAGTTTTCTATAGATTCTGTCAAAAAAGACCGAAATACTTTCTCTTGGCTTTTAAACTTTCTAATGAACTTCATGATGTAGTTCAGATAAAGTGAAGTACATGTTGATGTTTTGAAGTAGTTTCGAACCGATTCTGACTGAGTTATGAATTTTTTAGCTGTCGGTGCAAATAGGCAAAAATGAATTATTTTATCTAGTATCAGTTTTCAGTAGGCTTTGAATTTTATTCTGCAAAAAAACATTGCCACAAGATTTGTGATGGTTGGAATATTATATTTCAATAGCTTTTGAGGTTTCCAGACGAAAGCATTGAGTAGTTCTAAGGCTTTGCGGAAAATGCCTGTAGCTACCGAAGCACGGTAAATGAAGATGTCGCCTAGCTCTCGTTTTGTAGAGAGCACTTTCTTCTATCTAACGATCTAAAAAAATCAATAGTTTAGTATTTCAAATTTTTCCGTTATGCACAAGTTTTCTAGAGATCCGTTAAAAAACCGTATTTGTTATAAAAAATGCATAGGTCGACTAAGAAATTCCCTTACGGTAAAGAAAGACTCCGCAACTTAAAAGGTCCGTTCTTATTAGGCACATTTACTCTATAAAAGACTGGTCTTTAGCTTTGAATATCGTGCAAAAGCTCAACTTTTATAGGAAGAATGCGTTTCAGCCTTCTCTACGCTTGAATGTTTAATTACGAATTCCAATCCGTCATCCATTGATTGTTCTTCACAACAGTGATCTTGTAAAAAGAAGAGAATCGATACGGACAAGAACCTAGAACATAATTACTTGAAATATGGTCACAAGCGTTTGCACCAGATTCTTCAAAATCAACATTCAGATTCTTCAATAAAGTGAAAATGGACCCTCTCTAGTTATTTTAATTTTAATTCGCGAAGTTGGCAGAATATCAGATGAGTACTGCCTCTTTTGGTTATGTAATAAATGAATACCTAAATTAAAATAGAAAATTTGTGCTTTTCTATAACGACAAATAAAGCTCCACATAGATATATGCGAGCACATAAAAAAAATATATGACGGAAAGTTCAAAGGAAAGAAAAGTGAACGGGCATCTTTGATGTCTATAGTTGAATATAGTGTAATATACCGTGAAAACCTATACGGAAGCCGTCGAGTCCAGAAAACGGAGAGGTCCCGATGAGATCTTTGCGCCGTACAACGTAACTCGTCGCGCGGATTTCGAATATGTAAAAACCTTGAGGTATTCTTCTCCAGAAAAAATATCAAACTTTGATATGAAGTGTCCTAGAGTAAGATCTGTCCGGATAAGAACTGTCTGTGGAAGATCGGATTGAATACCCGATTCTGAATATATAATATATAAAAAGTACCAAAAAAAAACATCAAACCTTGAAGTATCGCACAGTGGGCATTTTTCTATAGAGCAGACGGACATATACTGTAAGAGTGGTATGAAAGCCTATAAATACATTCTTCTATAGGTTTTCGAATATGCTCTTTCTAATGATGAGATTTCCAGTACTCAAAAGTAATTCGTTGTGGGTTTTCTGGAGACTGGATCTCTGGAAAACCCATAAAAAATATTTTTGCATTTCGAGAACCTCACTATTCGAAAGATCATATTTGAAAACCTATAAAAAATGTGTTTATAGACTTGTGTACTATTGCTAAAATAAATATCCAAATTCCTAAGCAAAATTTGTTGCGGACAAGCTCTCAAGTCTATAATTCAATTTGATCGAAAATATTTCTGCAGAAAAATGAAAAAGCTATACATCATTCGATGCAGTTTTTCACGATGATTCCGAATATGGCATTATTTGTACGAAAAAGTGCTTTGGTGAGAGAGAAAAATGTGAAATACGCGAAAACCCCTTGGGATTTTGGAAAATCCATAAAACCTCCTTGGAAAATATGCGAGATTTTGCGATTTTAGAATACATAGAGTAGCGTTTGAGGAACATTTTGATGTGTTTGAATGTTATTTTCGCGTGAGGCTAACGAGGGCCACCCGACTGTACTGGAGTACTGTTACTATGGACTGACGTGATGGAGAACATGTCGCTCTTATTTATTGAATTCGGTGCCGAAATAGAAATATTTTGTTATCAATAGATAGCTGAAGACGTGCTGCTTCTGAATATGTGCTTTGAAATCGCGTATCATAATTGAGTAAGCAAAGAATCTTTATTTCGTATGTAGTAACGATATCCGTAATCGGTTTTGTGTATCGTGATTTCTCGTCGTGCTCATTTTCAAAATAAACATTTATATACCATTCGATACCCCTTTGAAACGGCTACATTTTCCACTATTTGTGTTTGAATTAGGAACAACTTCGACTTTTCACCTAACTTCCACCTGGATGCCCACTGTGTATCGGGCAGTGAGAAGTGTCCTCTGCAGAGAAGCACGATCTATCTGGGTAAGATCGGTCCAGGTAAGTAGTGTCCTGGAATAAGAAGTGTCCTACGGTAAGAAGTGTCCTAGAGTGCGATCTGTCTGGATAAGAAGTGTACGGACGAGAAGTTTCCGGATAAGAACTGTCTGGGGGAGATCCGGGATTCAATTTTTCTATGTCGCATAACGCGAAAAACTAATGCGAACTCGGTTTTTGGCTACAAACGCAACAGGGGTTGGATAGTGCCATCATATCCAACAACTCCTGCCTGAATTCACTGCTGATTTCATGGAGAATTCAGTAGAGGATGATGATGCTGTAGTAGAAGTATGGCTCATGTTGTGTTTTAGTCACTTTGCACAGTAGGCATCCAGGCGGACATTAGGCAAAAAATAGAAGTAACTCTTTTCTCAAATATATATAGTGTAAAATGTAGCTGTTCAAATTCTCTATCGAATGGTGTATAAATGTCTATTTTGAAAATGGATCCTTCGAGCAGAAGGCAGTGTACATAAAAC